AACTTAATATTAACAATAATGTACTCACTAGAGAACTGATAACTTAATATGAACAGTAATGTACTCGGTAGAGAAGTGATAACTTAATATGAACAGTAATGTACTCGGTAGAGAAGTGATAACTTAATATGATCAGTAATGTACTCGGTAGAGAACTGATAACTTGATATGAACAGTAATGTACTCACTAGAGAACTGATAACTTAATATGAACAGTAATGTACTCGGTAGAGAAGTGATAACTTAATATGAACAGTAGTGTACTCAGTAGCGAAGTAATAACTTAATATGAACAGTAGTGTACTCAGTAGCGAAGTAATAACTTAATATGAACAGTAATGTACTCAGTAGCGAAGTAATAACTTAATATGAACAGTAGTGTACTCAATAGAGAAGTGATAACTTAATATAAATTTAACTCACCGAAAAATGACGTCACCGTTAAAATCGGAAGGTGGTGTCCAAACTGTGGTTACTGTGGTTTTTCTAGTGTTACTTGAATGGGTTAGTGTATTCTGAAATTATAACCAACTTTATTAAATCTCCTTCCTTCATTTAAAATTATGTATCTTCAGAATGTGAGGGTTTTGTCGTAGTCAAAATTAACAATCTAAAGCATAAGTTTGGCAAAAGAAAATGAATAAATGGAACAGTGAAACTCCTTTTCAAAACAATACGAAGTAAAGATGAACATAGGTGACTTATAGCTTTTATATGTTCAAAAACAGAGTATCAACTTTACAACTACTAATTTTGTTGCTTCTAAACAAATTTAAATTTTTTTATGTAAATCTCAAAACTGGATCAGGTTTTCTAAACTTTAGCAAAGAAACAGTGCAGTCCATTTTAACACCTAGAAAATAGTGAAATTAAAAAATATGACCTCCATAATAAAAGCGATTTTAGTTTAATATACTTCCTGCAGATGGCGCAGGAAAGCAATCTGAAATTTGTAACAGGCGTCAAAATCTGTTTTAAGAACGGAGTGTTTTGAATACGTTCGATGGAGAGATACTTTATTGTTTTTCATATATTTTAAAGAAAAATTGTGGTTCAAATCCTAAACAAGTCACATGACTTTGACCCACCAATCACCATCTTCTAATACTATATTTAATTTTTCTAATGTCTATGTTCTGATTGAGATCGCGGAATCGTTGATGACGACGCTACTTTTGAAATTGTATTGTAATTACAAGTCGACAAATTAAAACATTAATTTATAAGAATAAATTATTATAATGAAGAAAACATATTTGATGTTTATAAAAAACAGCTGAGAAACGCCGTACGACAAACCTAGAATCACCACAGGTGAGAACCTATTTCATAGTAATAACGTTTTAAACCTAGCGCTTCCAATTTTAAAAACCTATTTTATTGTAACCATACCACAACCCTAGAATCACCACAAGTGAGAACCTATTTCATAGTAATAACGTTTTAAACCTAGCGCTTCCAATTTTAAAAACCTATTTTATTGTAACCATACCACAACCCTAGAATCACCACAGATGAGAACCTATTTCATAGTAATAACATGTTAAACCTAGCGCTTCCAATTTTAAAAACCTATTTTATTGTAACCATACCACAACCCTAAAATCACCACAGATGAGAACCTATTTCATAGTAATATGTCAAAATTAGAACCACCACAGTTAAAAACATTTCATTGCAACCATACCACAAACCTACGATCACCATTGTTTAGAACCTGATTCATGGTAATATCATATGTCAAAACTAGAACTACCATTGCTGAGAACCTGTTTCATGGTAATATCATATGTCAAAATTAGAACTACCATTGCTGAGAACCTGTTTCATGGTAATATCATATGTCAAAACTAGAACTACCACTGCTGAGAACCTGTTTTATTGTAATAACGTGTCAAAACTAGAACTACCATTGCTGAGAACCTGTTTCATGGTAATATCATATGTCAAAACTAGAACTACCACTGCTGAGAACCTGTTTTATGGTAATAACGTGTCAAAACTAGAACTACCATTGTTGAGAACCTGTTTCAGGGTAATAACTTATTTCAAAACTAGAACCACCATTGTTTAGAACCTGTTTTAGGGTAATAACATGTGTCAAAATTAAAATCGCCATTGTTTAGAACCTGTTTCAGGGTAATAACTTATTTCAGAACTAGAACCACCATTGTTTAGAACAACTCACAGTACCATTGTTTAGACTTTAGAACAACTTCTAGTACCATTGTTTAGACTTTAGAACAACTCCTAGTACCATTGTTTAGACTTTAGAATAACTTCTAGTACCATTGTTTAGACTTTAGAACAACTTCTAGTACCATTGTTTAGACTTTAGAACAACTCCTAGTACCATTGTTTAGACTTTAGAACAACTTCTGGTACCATTGTTTAGACTTTAGAACAACTTCTAGTACCATTGTTTAGACTTTAGAAAAACTTCTAGTACCATTGTTTAGACTTTACAATAACTTCTAGTACCATTGTTTAGGCTTTAGAACATCTTCTGGTACCATTGTTTAGACTTTAGAACAACTTCTAGTACCATTGTTTAGACTTTAGAA